TGTTTGCACAGCTGCGTCCCCGCTGCCCCAACCCGGGCGCCTACCCTGGCCCCCCCAGCCCCTTCCGGCCCTAGCGTGGGATGGAGCAGCTCTGCCCTCCCGCTGCCCCTCGTCCCTCCCCGGCACAGGGGAAGGGAGCGTCCGGGGACCGACACCATGCCATCTTGGTTGCCAGGAGCCACCTCTTCCCTGACATCCACACTCTCACACTCTGCCTGCCCCCCATGCTGGGCAAGGAAGGGGACTGGGTTTTTTTTTTTAGGAGCCAGATGAGTCAGTGTATGGCATCCCGGCTGCCCATGACTCACCCGGGGAGAAGCTCCCAGCCTTAAGGTCGCAGCCCCTGCTGGAGCTGGCGGCCCGGGTGCTGCAGGCAAGGGGCTGGCTGGGTGCTGTGGGTGCTCCTGGCCCCACGGCGGCGGGGGCACGGCAGCAGCATCCGCCCTCACGGCACGGGAGGCCAGCTGGCTCCTCGGCCCGAGCGGGAGGGCGGCAGGAAAGGGAAGGAGCTGAGAATGGGAAGAATTGGAGGAAGTGCTTATTTACCCCGTGGAGTATCCCCGAGGAAGGGCAGGGCACGGCGCAGGCTCCCCGGGGGGGCTCCTGCAACCTCCCACCCTGCCACCCATCCCACGGGCTCCCAGTTAGCAGCCAGAGGGGGATGCAAGCCCCAAACTGGGACCCAGGGAGGTGGCTACCACCTGGGGTCAGGGGGGTCCCCAGTGCCTGGCTAAGCTCAAGCCCAACCTGTTTTCTAGGATGGCTCCTGAGAACCAGACTAGGATCACCGTAATCCCAGTTAACTGGGTCCCCCACCAGCAAAGGCACAGAGCAAGCACCCAGCTGGGATCCCCATGGCTATGGAGGCCCAGGGGATAACCTCCATGTCCTGCTAGACAGGACTGCAGCCTGGCCAGGGCCACCGGCGCCTGCTCCTGAGGGGGCTGTGACCCCTCTCAGAGGTGCTGAGCAGAAGACGGGGCTCTGGCGTAACCTTGCGAAGGTCCCACGTGTCACCTTCACCCCCACCTGCTCATCTCCAGGGTGCTCTGTGGGGTACAAGTAGCTTTCCCCACAAAATCCTGCCTGGGCAACACAGTCCCCATGCATGCGAGCAGCCCCGGCCCCCCCCCGCCCCGTTCTGCCCAGCTCCCCTGGGGCTGTGGTGCCAGGGATGCTCTCGGTGGAGCTGGGCTCTGTTTACCCTCATTAGCATGGCTGCAGAGAAGATGGAGGTACAGAAGTTGGGGGGGGGGGCGGGGGAAAGAAACCCAATTTGCCAAGGAAAGCCATGCCGCCATCGCATTGGGGGCGCATCGCCTGGGAGTGGGGGGCTGCTGTGGCCCCTCTCCTGCCTTGAGATGCAGAGCCTGGGTCTCAGCATGGGCAACGGCAAGGTTGGGCAGCCAGCGGGCCCTATCCTGCCACAGACACCCCGTCCCGACACCCCATCACTGCACGCCACAGTGACAACCGTGTCCCTCATAGGTGGTAGATACCCGTCCCCAGGGAAGAAGAGCTCTCTGCCCTGGGGAAGTCGCTCACCCAAAAAAGCCCCCCGCAAGCCTGGCCACATCACCCCAGGAGCCTCAAACAACTGGGCATCCCCAAATTAATGGTGTTTGCCAGGGGGGGCCCAGTGCCACCGGTGCTCAGTACCTTTGGGTTTGCTGTTCATGGCGGGCTGCGGCAGCACATCCCCCTTGGGCTGGGGTCAGCGTCCTGGGCAGCTGTTGTTCTCTCATAACGTCTGTCCATCCGTCCGTCCACCCGTGTGCGGGGGCCAGCAGGGCTCCCCCCAGGCAGCAGTCTCCTCCCACGCTTCCCCTGCCCAAGGGCTGACATCACTGCCCAGCGCCGCAGCCCCGGCTGTGACTCAAGGGCTGGGGACGGGAGGACGGAGGACAGGAGGACGCGGGAGGATCCCTGTCCCCCTTGGAAGGAAGGGGCCCCACCAGCACTGGCTGCTCCGGGAGCAGGGCACGGCTCCATCCCCATCCTCCCTCCTCACTGCCCCTCAGGGGAAACTGAGGCACGGGTGGAGGGGAGGGGGCCGCACTGCAGGTCACTGCCGTGAAAACTCCCCCACCCAGCCCCTCTCCGGGCTGCTTTAAAGCGGGGGGAAGTGCAGGGCTGCAGCCTGTGCTGAGCCCTGCAGCGTCCCTCACCAGCCCCACGTGCCATGCTGGCCCCCACCAGCTAGCCCCCTGCCAGACTGCACCTCTCGCAGACCCCCTTCCTTCCAGCACCCAGGGCAGGCCGGAGGGCAACCACCACCCTGCCCAACGCATGCTGGCCCCCAGCTGCCACCAGTCCCTGCGCCGGGGGGGGATGCTCCGGGCACAGCCCCTTGCCCCCATCCCTGCCGGCTCCGCTGCGGGCTGGCACAAAGCCGTGGGCAGAGCAGGCAGCCAACGCTGACACCACTGTGGGGAGCCGTCCCGACACCCCTGCTGCTCGCTTCTGCGTTGCTTTTTTATGTATATATATATTTTTATATGTATATAAAACTGCCATGGCTTTGCTGTGGGCTTCCCACAGTGTCCATCCCCATGGCATGCCTGTGGGCACCCTGCAACACCCAGAAGTGGCTGGGAAAAGGGTTTCCTTGCTCGGATGCCCCCAGCTTCTGTCATCTAGGTCTCCAAAGTCTCAGAGGGTCTGGCTTCAGCCAGGGCTTCCTCGCAGGACTCTCCAAAAATACCGAGTGCCGTTCCCACGCTCCCCGTGGGGCAGCGAGGCAGACCCACCTCCCTCCATGACAACCCCGGCGGCACCTCCCAGCCCCACAGCTCCCCAGCAGAAAGCACAGGGATGCCCTGAACAACCAAGGGGACCCTGTGGCGGAGACGTGAGCCCCTTTCCACCGCTGTAGGTCCTGCATGGGTCCTGGTCCTGGGGTAAGCAGGCCTGACACCCCCTTCCAGCTCTGACGGAGGCGGCTGGAGCAGCCAGCCCCATCCAGGCTGGGACCAGCTGCCATCATCACGTCACCGGGGCAGGAAGAGACGCCTCCCTCCCGGGCTCCTTTCCTGTTTGCTGCTGCTTTTAGAGCGAGGTCGGGCCAGGTTTGGGAGGAAAAGCGTTGGCGGGCTGCTCACAGCGATGGGGTGCTGCTGGACATGGTTAAGCCCTTCCTTAGAGGAGCCAGTTGTGGGGCTGCTTCCCCAGCCCAGAGCTGGTCCCCTCCTTGCTAGTCCCTGCAGAGGATGGGGCCAGCACACCGCAGGGGAGGAGGAGGGGCTGGGACCCCCTTTTAGGGTGGCATGGCTCCCCCGCCATGGGCACCCATGCATGTGGCTCCAGGGCCAGCCCCATTGGGAGAGCTGCTGGGGGAAGAGCTGGTGAGACTGGGCTGGCCCCAAGCCACATCCAAGGAAAAACCATCCCAGCACCGGCAAACGGAGGCATCTGGCCACCCGCCTGCCTGCAGCCTCCATGCTGGTGTCGAGGGCAGAGAGAGGAGGCAGCAGCCCAGCACACCGAAAAGCACCCAGCGTCTCCACCCCGGCCTTCGAGTACTTGCACGAAGACCAGCTCTTCTACCTTGCCTGGTCGGGATGCGTCTCCCTCTCCCCACTGACGGGCAGAGTCCTGAGCAGTGGCTGCCATGGGCAGCGGGCGACCGCCCAGCTTTTCACCCCTTGCTGCTTCTTCCCAGGGGGAAAGCACCACTCCCAGCACCATCCCGGGACGAAGCAGCCTTCTGCAAAGCCTCTGCCACGCTGGCAGCCATGCGGAGCCGGTGCCCAGCACATGGCCAGGCAATGCGCCCGCAGTGACGGCCCATGCCAGCTCGTTTGTTCTCATTAAAGGTTAACAAGAAAGCCATGCTAAAGCTGCCGGGAGCTGCGGGAGAGGCATTCCCCTGGTGCCATGCAGGGCAAAGGGACGTCCAGGCTTCCCTCCCAGAGGGGTGACAGCCAGGCTGTGCCGCTTGCAGGGACTCTGCCTCTCCGTGGCCATGCTTGCAGCCCCATGAAGGGCAGGCCAGGCAAACTGCGTGGCACAGCACCATCTCGGGCATTGCCCACAGGGCGACTGCTGGGAGCAGGCAGGTCGTGCATTCCAAAGGCAGCGGAGGATGCCAGGGGAGGATGCAGGCAAGTGGCATCAGAGCTCTCTGAGCACCCCGTGGCACCCTGCACGGCACTCAGCAGGGCTTGCCAGCTCAGGGACACCTTGCCAAGGGTGGGAAGAGGAAGGGCACGAGCTGAGCCGATGCTGCCGGGGCCTGGGCGGTAATTGTGTTAAATGAATCCCTGGCCTGGCCGAGAAGGGGACAGCCTCACGGCTGCTGGTCACCTCCCCCAGCTCAGGGGACTTTCCTGGCTGCCCCCCACCCCGGCTCAGCACAAGTGGCCAGGGCAGCTGCCTCCACCCCTCCTGCACAGCAGGGACACCGGCACAGCACCCCAACCGCACCCATTCTGGGGGTCTCCCTGCCATGCTCTCTTCTTGCCAGGCCTGGAGAGCTGTCCTGAGCATCCCCACCCCAACCACAACGGCTGAATCTGCAAAGAGATCCCCCCCACAGGCAGCTCAGACACATGTGCACAGTTATGGCCAGTCCGTCTGCAGGCAGAAGAAAACCCCAGACACCCCAGGAGGATGTTCCCATTTCCCTGCCCTCAGCTGGACACAGGACTGGCATCCCAGAGACCCCACATCCTGCGAGCGCTGAGTCCTGGGGAGGTTCCCTGGCCGCTCCCTGACGGCTCTGGGACCACCATCTCCGAGGCTGTGCCCACCCAGCATCACCCAGCCCCATCACCAGTGCCCTGCTGGCACCAGCACCAAAGGCCAAGGTGATGAAGAAGCTATTTCGGGCTGTTCCTGGACAAGCGACCCCCAGACACGGACACCCTTGCGTGGCTGGGGAACACCACTGCAGCTGGAAAAGCGGCACAGAAGGGTGCACGCCAGCCTCTGCAGGTGCACAGCGAGCAGAAGGTACCGCTGGCCAAAAGAGGCCAGGTGCCAGCACATAGGCACCAGCCTGGTGAGGGGCTGAAGAGCTTCCGTTCACGGGGGAAACCTAGGAGGGGGCAGGAGGTGACAATTCTGGCAAGAAGACCCACCATCATGGCTTGAAGGAGAACCACAGTGAGTGACCGAGTGACTTGTGGCCAGGCGAGAGCCAGTCCCGGTCTGGCAAATCCCAGTCCCCACCAAGGTGCTACCACCGACCTCTCTGCCTTTCTTTTCTGCAGAAACCAACAAAGCCAGCTCCAAAAAATCCTGACATCCCGATGCTGCAGATCATATGCAGAGTTTTTCCTGCAGGGTCGATGCCCCAAGGGCTGCGGAAGGACCAGCCCTTGTGCCAAGCTGGGCTCTACCCACAGCCAGGCTGGCACCAATGCCGCCGGCAGCACCCCTTGCCGAGGGGGCCGGGCACCCCGCATCCGGGCACTGGGGCCGCGGCAGATGCAAGCCCTCCCCCCTCGCTTCCTCGCATCGTCCCCACACGGCAGCAGAAATAGAAATGATATAAATGGCAGCCCTATAAATAACCCCAAAGCACGAGGCAGGGAGCTCGTCCCAGCCTGGCAATGGCCTCAACCCACGCAAAGCCAGGGCTTGGTCTGCCTTTGCCGTCTCCTGGGGACTCTCAATGCCCAGCTCCCTGCCAAGGACAGGTCTCCCGGGTCCCATCCTGAGCTCCAAGGTGCCCACTAAGCCTCGGCCACCAGCGCAGGCTGGAGCCCAGCACGATGGCATCCCTGGGGATGTCCCCATGCCCCTGCCTAGCTCCTCTCAGGGTGGCAGCAGGCACCGGACGATGTCTGCCCTGGGCACCCCACCACAACCCAGGCTGCAAATTCCTGGGCAAAGCGGGAGCGCTGGCCAGGAGCCTCAGGCAGGGTTCGGGAAGAGAAGCCCCCACACCCCAGCACCGTCCCCACTGCAGATCGACAGTCCCCCCCTGGTTGCACCCCAACACCCACTTCATCGGGCTCAGCCACCGCCACGCCAGCTCCCACCACCACTCCTCTCCGCCTGAGGGGACGCAGCAATGCATCGGGGACCTCCACCAGCTGAGAGCAGGCAATGCCGAGGGCAGCAAGCCCAGCGCTGCCTGATTTTGCGCGGCGTCATAGCCTCACGCCCCAGCCCTGCCCGGGGGACTTTGCAAGGCTTTTCCGCAGCCACTGTCCAGGAGATAGGTTCTGGGCCAATATGGGATTTATAGGAAGGCCAGGACTTCCCGGTGGCCTCAGCAGTCTCCTCCGGGGATCTGGCAAGGGTAAAACCTGCTTGAGGTTGTTTGCAAGCCCTGGGAGGTGCAGCAGGGAATAATGGTGCGAGGCCTTCCCAAGCACTTCTTGGCAGGCTGGGGAGGGCTGGGAGATAGGAGGATCGGGCCAGCAACAAAGCCAGATCTGTCTCATTAATTCCTCCGAGCATTCCTCCCTCGTCACCCAGGAGGAGGAGGCAGCACCCAGCTGACATGGGGCACCCAGGTCCCTGGGGAGCTCCCGCCCCCCCCTCCCCCCCGCGGTCCTGCTCGGGTGCAAGGGGTGTGATGGGAGGAATATGGGCACAGCCTCTCCCCTGGGACCTATGGTTCTGGGGTCCCGCAGAGGCTCGGGGAGGGCCCTATGGGGACACGGGCAGCTTCCCCTC